AACTAGAATTTATCAAATTATATTGCACACATAGTCATGGCTTTGAAATCACCCCTAGCCAAGATGGGTTTAGCCACTCATATTTACAACAAAACGAAAGGAAATGAATTTAAACATTAGAAACAAAAGAAAGAAAACACCTAAACGCTCCAACGATCCAAGTTGGACAGCAAGCACGTCCAAGCACTTTCCTTCCCTCCCTTTGCTACGGCACAAGGGGTTGCTGAATGTTTGAAGGTTTGTTTGTATGGAGGAATGGATGTGAAGATGAATTTATGTGTTTGGATGAAGGTTGTATTGAAATGGGGATGAATGATCAAGCCAAAACTAAACTCTATGGCTGCCACACACACTTCCTTTTATAGAGGAAGTGCACGGCAAAGAAGGTGAATTGGTGGTGTGTGCAATGATTCAAGGGTGAAAATGAAGTAATGATGCAAAGCATGGGGGGTAAAATGGAGTGGTGTTGCAGCAATGAGTGCAAGGAGTGGTGTTGAAATGATTCAAAGGTGAAAGTGAAGTGATGATGCAAAGCATGGGGGTAAAATGGAGTGGTGTTGCAGCTAGGGAACATGAATGCTTATGCACATGGTATAGAAAGGAAAGGGATGTGGAATGGTGCAGAAATGAGTCAAAGGTGCAGCAAATGTCATGATGCACGGCATGGGATTCCAAAGGTGTTGAATGGTGCATTAATGAGTGTATGTAGTGGAGGTAAAAGTTGTATGAAATCTAATAGGTGAAGGGAACAAGGAGTGTGCAGCAATTGAGTGTAATGATTCAATGTATTGATGCATGAAATCAAAAGTAATGAAGGAGACAAGGGTGGTGCACGGCAATGAAGTGTAATGAGTGTAATGGTGCATGAAATGAGTGCAAGAAATCTGGTGCATGAAGGGGACAAAGGTGATTATGCATGGCATGGGTGGAAAGGTGAGTAAGTGAGAATCAATAAGTGCAGGGAGTGAAAGGATATTGTGCACATGGTAGACAAAGGAAATGAAGTGGAATGATGCAACAAATGAGTCAATTGAGGGAACATGGATGATGATGCACGACATAGGAATCCAAAGGGAGTGCAATGGTGGTGCACGGCAATGATGGAAAAGTGAATGGTGGAGTGACACCTCTTTGTGGCTGAGCTCTTTGTCCTTTTTACATTAATTCTTCTTTCTCTTTAACACATTCCTAGCCTCTTTAGTCTTCAATTTCGTCCATCCACCTTGCTCCATGCATGTGTTATTCATTCCAAGCCCAAAGTTGCTCCAAAATGCACCAAAATGCATCTTATTGCTTTATAAGGCCTATGGACCTACAAACACACGAAAATAGCTTAAAATACATAATTAACTAAGAAATAACAACATAAATGCTTGAGAACAAGCTAACTCAGTCGCATAAATATGCTCCTATCAAAGCCCCGAACCAAAACTTCATTAAATGAGATGTACCTTATTCACCTGAATACGAGGATTAACTCTTTACTACCCACAATAAGTATAAATTAGGGACAGTCTCCTGAACATGAGACTAAACTATTTACTTTTGGCCTGCATTAGTATAAACTATGAATGGCAAACTCCTGGTCGGCATGAGTATACAGTGTTTAAGGCAAAACAACATCAAAAAGCCCTTTTTTCCTCATAAGCCAGGAGTAGATTCACAATTTGTCCCATTCAAGATGAAAGAGCAGATTAACCACGTCCTACTGGGTGTAAGCAAATAACTCCTAAGCAAGAGTGTAAAAGGCAAAATCAAACCATGGAATTCATGCATATATAATACCAAAAAAAATAAAACCAAGTTTATAGGTATGTCCTATCGGCATAAAGAAAGTCAAATCAAAACTATGAAGATGTCCAAGGTAGACAAAGCAAGAAAGCTCAAAGCCCAACTGTCTCAACGGACTTTTGCAGCCCCAGAATCTTCTCCCTATAAACATAAAGGGAAGATGCTACACGTTCATACTTATGCTCGGCAAGAACGACCCTCATCGACAAGCTTTCTATGTCCTATGCAGTAGATTCCATTTGCGACTCTAGCTCGAACTCTTTGTCATTACACTCATCCAACTCTTCCATAAGAGATGAAGCTTAGTTCCGCAAACCCGACAGCTTCCTTTCCAACTCAATGATCTGCTCCTGCAAAGATGAGTGGGCGGTCTTCAGATCCTTGCCTACAGTGTGGCATGCATTAAGCAAGTTCATCTTTTCCTCCAAGGTCTTCTCAAGTTCTTTAGCTTGAGCTACTAGCTCTGCCACGATGACGTTCTTTTTCTCCTAGATCACATCCGAATCGAACTTCTTCCGCTTTGCCTCAAACTCAACACTTGCAATGAATAAAGCACGACTCCGCTTAGAGAATGGTGACAGATCAAAGCCCAATGACTCAAAAAAAGACCTAATCGGCAACTGTAGCCGAAAGTTCTACTAGAGCACACTCTCAGAGACTGCTAATTAAAGAGTTACCCATCTCATTCACAAATATCTAAAGACTGGAGCCAAGCATCTAACCCAGCACTATCGATTTGCTAGCCACGGCATCACCAGTCAAAGAACCCTGATTGCCTTATTCAAGTATTAAGGGAAAATCAGACCAAACATAAAGTATACAAGTCTTGACCTGATAAGGACAAGACTTCTAACCTGTTGAAGTGGGACTTAGAGGTTCTTGGATACAGACATCTCTACGTCGTTCTTTGAAGTATCAAGAAGAACTACGTCTGAAGAAGAAGTGTCGGTGATACTGGATCTAATCTGGTCACTGGAAGAGAAATTCCACTCCTAAACCACGAATGTTTTTTCATCTTTGTCTGTTTCCCAGGCATTTTGATAGCACAACCTTAATTCCACTATGGGAGGGCACAACTTTAAGAAAACTTCTCCCCCTATGGGCCAAAGCATTAAAAAGGGTGATTTCTGGTAAAAAGAAGCACAGCTGTCAAGATAATAAGGCGCGATCGACTGTTACTATCTTGGACATTCGGTACCCTCGCTGGGTCTCCAAGGCTATTTCCTCTGCCCCCTTGTTCTAGCTTTTACCTATTAACAGTAATGCTTACCCACTTGTAATCCACCTTACGCACAAGTAAAGCCAAAGATCATCACCTTTTCTTGTTTGTGAGTAGGTGGTACGGAGGCCCAATGAATGAGGATGGCGGGTGAGAAAAGATAACGAAAAAAAGGCTGAAGAATAAGCCCATTCTAACTATTCTAATCTAAAGGAAGACTCTGAAAGGAAGGTTTGAGGGGAGAGCAGGCTCGACCAGCCTTCGTTCCTTGTTGTGAGCCTCACTAGCGCTCTGAACCATCTGTTTTTTTTTTTTTTTGGAGGCTACCTTCTTCTTGGTTCCTTCCCAAATGGTAATTCAGTCGTAGAGGTCGTAGACCATAACGCTCCTTAAAAGAGGGACCTGCTTCCTTAGCACCTACCCCAAGCCAAGCGCACACCTAGCTCACACCCTTATTAGAATTAAAGGAAGTAGCTCCACAAAGAAGGCTTCATGGCTTCTCCCAGCTCGCATTTCCTAATGTGGTTGGTTTTTATTTATTTACCCTGTTGGTTTACTGGGGTTGATGACCTAGCAACGAGCTAAGGGTAAAGGTTTTGATGCGAAGCTTTCTCGGTTGCCCTAAGTTGATAGATGTTCCTCCATTACATCATTAGATCGAATGGGAAAACTCATATGTAAAGGTGGACTTCGGATAGACGCGATAAAGATGTTAATAAAAGCATCTGTACCGAGATGCAGATATACCGATGGTTAGACGGCTAACGAACATCCTATAAAAGAAGTTTATTTCATGAGGCTAACTCGTAGCGTTCTTGACACTCCCAGCAAAGCTTCACACCCAATCACTAGTAATATGTAAAAAGCCGTCTCCCACTGATAGTTCTGCAAACTCGTTGTTAAGCTAGGTGTGTGACCCCTAGTTCTCTGTCGTCTCAACCGTGTTTCTCTGTATAAAGAGATGTACTGGATCCGTCACCATATACATTGAGCTCTGTGTTTCTCTGTGAAAAGATGTTGATTTATTCTTTATGATTTGATGGGAATTTTTTAGGGTTTTGGGAGGCTTTAGTTTGAAAAAATATTATAGCACCAGTACTTTACACACGTATTGGAAGGGCCGCAGTAGATATTGATACACATTTAAGTTCCTGCAGCCTTCAGCACAACCGCGTGTTGCAATTGCATGTTTAGTCCTCTGCGTTAAATATAGAATTCTATCTAATTGTAAGTTAAAATTCGACCATTCCAGAATTCACTGAAACTTCAGATTAACCATATTAACAATAGGGTTGCAGAATTGATTCATTCATTATAACAATCAAGATTAGCGTTCGCGCTTAGGGTTTAGAGATGTTAACATTATCAAATCTCGTTTACAATACAAATAGTCATTGCTTAAAATCTATATTAGACTCAAATCCGAATCTCCTCTCCGTAGTTTGATTAAAAGGCTTAGACCTAGCCTTACACAACGACATATACAAAACTACCCCAGAGACCATAACATTGCCCTCTGAAAGAACCGACACCAAGTTCGAAACTTAGAAAAACGTTACACAAGTAAGAATAAATCAATCTGCAACTGGGCAACTCCCAAACTCATCCCAACCACTTAGACCATGCTTGTATTGAGTTGAGCTTTTGGGTATTTTAACAAAAATTAATAAGTTGAATTTACAGCTCAAAACCCCTGCCGAAATTTACTCATAAAATTCTTAATACTACTAGGTATTTGGGTAGCAACATTTGATCATCTTCAAAAAGAAAGAAAAAACACTAAATTACACTAACACTGCTTGGTTCCGCTTTTCATCCTTACCTTTATACACACAAAAATAAAAAAAATAAAAACCTCAATAAAATCATGAATAAAAATTTCTACCCATGTAAAGTATATTATTTTCCAAACTAAAGCCTCCCAAAACCCTAAAAAATTCCCATCAACATCTTTTCACAGAGAAACACAGAGCTCAATGTATATGGTGACGGATCCAGTACATCTCTTTATACAGAAAAACACGGTTGAGACGACGGAGAGAGAGAATCTGACAGACTTCTGAGTTTTGATCTCGACCGTGATTTCTCTGTATAAAAGAATGGAATGAACCCTAAAACATGATGCCGCCGTCACAAGCTCAGGACTTGAGTACGGTTTCTCTATCTATCTATAGCGAGGAAAGGGCTGATGTAATCTCAGTATTTATAGCCCAAAAGATGCTCCACGTCCCTCTTTTCCTGCGTGCTCTCGACGTAAACAAAGCCCTAGTCAAACTCAAGGCCGAAGAAATCCACCGCCACTAAACATGAGTTGGAAGGTACGGGGCTTCTTACACTCATGTGCTTAAATAATAGGCCCAAAAGCCTTTTTTTTTTTCTTTTTTTTTTTTCACAAGTGCTATACTAAAATGAATCGAAATCTTCTCTCAAACTATGTGTTCAAAGTCCGAGAATTTGAAGATCTGGACCATTAAATAGAGACAGATTCAACCTTTAGTTTATGTGAGGTGAGTTAGTGAATGGGCTAATGTGGCCGCATAATTTAAAATAAGAGGTCTGAATCTTCTAATCTTTAGGCAACGTACACAAAAATTTAGACAGGATCTTAACTCTACTTAAATAGATGATTGAGTTAAGCAGCTAATGTGTCAATCATAATTTAAAATTGAACTCTTCATTTATGAAAGTCGAAAATGTATTATGTTACTCGTGAGTGAAGAGTAGGACTTCTAAACCGTAATCATAAGAGAAACTCTAATTAATCTAATATCGAAGGTATCCAATGACAGGGATCAAAATCCTTGAATACAAACTCCTAGTAAATAAACATGCCATGCTAATTAAAGGGCGGTGCTATTCACATACATTGTTACCTCTTACACACCCTTTTCAATTTTCAATCGTCAATCGAATAAATTGAAAAAAAAAAAAGAACAAAAAATAAAGGTTAACAATGAGTGCTTAAAAAATAAGAACGGGTGTCCAGATAACACTGCCCCTAATCAAATAATCTTAATAAACATTCCACTGCAAGTCCATAGCTCAAATGGCTAGTACAATTTACACCTTGCAGGTTTCAGGTCAGTGTTCGATCCCCTCCGCTATCCCTTGTACAGAAAAGATTTCTTTTAAAAATAAAAAATCGACCAACCTTTTTTCGCATAGGGTCAGTAATTTGTAGTAACGTGATGCTATGCAAGATCCAGGGATGATTGCAAACTCAAAACATGCCAAATCAAGTTTGTCCAAAGGCTAAAATGTGGTTCAAATAAAATTACTTCAAATGCCAAGATCAACATGTATAATACGATTTAAGGTGCAGAAAATCTGCTTAATGCTAGAGTGAGACTAACTATACTCAAAAGTGTAAGGGCAACTTCCCAGTGAGGATTCTAAACCACCGGCAACCAAATACAGTGAGGTGCAAGATAAACCCCGCTGAAACAACCCGGATACAAAATACACAATATGGCTTTACGATTGATGAAGTTGTTTTGTCCAGTCAAAAGGTGACCAATCTTGATCGAAGCTCTTAACCGCTTGCTTCTGTGCCTCCACTGTCTCATGTCTTCGTCGGCGATACATGTCTTCCTCAGGCAATTGTAGCATGCCTCTTATGACATTCAGCCCAAGACTGCTGTTGAACTGCTGCTCGTCATCAATAACGTGCACAAACCCTTTATTCAGACCAAACTCCACATGAAAGTACGGAAAGTCCTTTGGAATTGACCCACGCAAGCCCTTCATGCTTGTATCGATTAGTCTTTTCGCATTGTGTTGGCTCCACTCATCTTCAGCTTCATCAATTGCCTGAGAGAAAGTTTATACATTTATTTAGTTCAAATGAGCAGACAAATTAAAATCACAGATTGTAAATTCAACATTATAGATTAAAATGTACATAAGCATTCAATTCAGAATATTTTAAAACATAACAATTGAGAACCTAATAAAATCTATGCGAACGTGTTTGAATATATCTAGACACTGGGCATGCACTTGTATATGTATCCAAATTTACTTGCACAGATATGTCGCATGAAATAACGTCACAAGTTCCCAGAAAAAGGGAATAGGTCATGAGTATTTTTTTCCAGAAATAATGAGCAAAGACATTTCAAAACAAGCAGAGCAGAAAATCAATGCTTTTAAAATGAAAACAAGAACATAATCCTTACCTTTTTAAAATATAGAGGAGCCTCTTTGGCAATTTCATGGGGTATAGGGATACACTCGACTATGCAGTGGTGGCGTTGTTGAGCCAATCCCATCACAGTTTCAAGAAAAACTACTTCCTTCTCTTTCTTTGCAAACATCATAATAAGGCATTTCTTGAAATTTCGAATTTCTTGCCACACGTCATCGTCAACAGTTCTTGTGGAAGGCACATGCTGTTAAGAATTATATAGATCAGAATCAAATACACATCAACAAAAGCATTTAAAATACGACAAAAGGAGCGAACTAAAATTACATCCCCCAGTAATCAAATCGACTTGGATGTTTCACATTCACCTGAAAAGGGTTCCAATAATAACTGTTTTTTTTCATTGGAGTTGAAGATGGTAAACAAAAGCATGAAATCTGGCTTTCTGGAACTTTAAAGTAAAGTAGGCTTTCTGGAACTTTAAAGTAAAGTACGAATGACTCGTGCTCATTATCAAATGACTACTGCAACAAAAAGGTAAGAGAAGAAACTAATTTAAGCTCACCTGCATTGGTATAATACAACAATGACCAGGCACAACAGGCTGCTGATGTGGCAACATCAAATACGTGAAATTTGCAATGGCCACAACAAGATGCGCTGGCCTCCTCTGATTTTCAAAGCAAAAGAGACATCTCTCCTGCTGCGTTGCGAATCGAGTTGCAAAACTGTTGTTCTGGGTGACTTTCTGATCACTACCCTGCTTCTTCTTGGACTTTTTTCTTGGAGTGTCATCATAGTCATATTCATCATCTGCCTGACCAGATATACTGTACTTTTTGTTCTGGGTTATCCTTTGAGCTAGATGCATATCAGCATCCTCCTCCTTTTTCTTCTGGCGAAGAGCCATTTCCTGCATAACATGTCTACATAAAAGGCAATCTGATTAGAACACCAATAATTATGTGAGGGAAAAAACAAATCACACCGTGCACATGAAATCAATCAACAAATGAACACTCCTTGACAGGATTTCCATAACGAATCCTAGAAGAGTTGGCCCGTGTTGTATGTTACAAATTCTACTATACACTACAGTTCTTGTACTTGTCTACAGAAATGGAAAAAGCACGCAGGATAAAACAAGAACTGAACGCTCATTTCAAGAACTGCAAAAGACCCATTTGCCATTACAAATACTACTTTCCTCCACACTTCCTTTTTATAACTTCAAGAATCAGTCCACAATTGTATCTTATTTACAGCAGAAAGCATTAGACAATACAACAACAACAACAACAACAAAGCCTTTTCCCACTAAGTGGGATCTACTATATGAATCTTAGAATGTCATTGCGCTCGGTTCTGTGTCATGTCTTTCGTTAGATCCAAGTACTCTAAGTCTTTTCTTAGAGTCTCTTCCAAAGTTTTCCTAGGTCTTCCTCTATCCCTTCGACCCTGGACCTCTGTCCCGTAGTCGCATCTTCTAACAGTATGTTGGGTTTTCTCCAGCCCTTGATTAGTTGTCCTAAGTCTATTGGGAATTAATAGTCTTAGAGGATTAAATTGTTTTCCCAATTGGAGTTGTTTACCCAATTGGAGTTAGTTTCTCAATTGGAGTAGGATTCATAACTAGATTCTAATTAGGATTAATAATCCCTATTGAAGAAGACCTTTATTATGTCTATATAAAGGGGCTATTGTACTAGTTTTGAGAAGGGAGCAAAACAATAAATTGTATACCACTCAAGGGATTAGAGTGAGAGAATATTGTAAAGTGTGTGCGAGAGAAAAGAAAAGAGTGTATTTCTTGTTCTTGTTCTTTAGGTTTTTCGTCAGGTCCTAATTCTAGAGATTTGGCAAGATTATTGGTTGTACTCATTATTGATTTAGTGAAAGATTGTTGTTGCTGCCCCGTGGACGTAGGCACATATTGCCGAACCACATAAACTCTTGGTGTTATTTATCTTGGTTATTTGTTTTTCGATTTCCGGAGTTTGTTCTTGTTTTTCCCATTCTTAAACGCGATATTCTCAACACAGTAGGCCTTCTTTGCACATGTCCAAACCACCGTAACCGATTTTGTCTCATCTTTCCTTCAATTTCGGCTACTCCTACTTTGCCTTGGATATCCTCATTCCTAATCTTATCCTTTCTCGTGTGCCCACACATCAAACGAAGCATCCTCATCTCCGCTACACCCATTTTATGTATGTGTTGATGCTTCACCGCCCAACATTCCGTGCCATACAGCATCGTTGGTCTTATTGTCGTCCTATAAAATTTTCCCTTGAGCTTCAGGGGCATACGGCAATCACACAACACGCCAGATGCACTCTTCCACTTCATCCATCCAGCTTGTATCCTATAGTTGAGGTCTACATCTAATTTCTCCGTTCTTTTGCAAGATAGATCCTAGGTAGCGAATGTAGTCGCTCTTTGGTACTTCCTGATCTCCGATCTTCACCCCTAACTCATTTGGGCCTCCATTTGCACTGAACTTGCACTCCATATATAGGGGAAAATAGGGGAAAATACAAAATAAGAATATGCAACATTACCTGCTTGTGCTCCGTTCATTTCTTGGTCTCATAAAATTATCTCCACTAGCCTGCTTTGCCTTTCTGTTTTCTACTTCTTCCTATTAGCAAAAAGAAAAAATCAATTAATCACTGAAATAAAAAATCGTGGTATACGAATAATAAGTTGTCCGCATTCTATGTGCTAAACAAGTGGGCAGTGTTATAAACTAATAATCATAAGAAAGATTTTAATATCGCAATACAGAGAAGCATAGGCATCTCTGTAGAACTAAATAGATGCATGCAAAAAATGGTAGGGACACAACCCAAGCAAAAGTGTTAAGGATTTTGTGAAGTTGAAAAAAGAAAACAGCAAACAAAGGACAGCAAATTCCCTAAACAAGATGAACCAAAGTAGCCCTAACTGCAGAAGAGTATTTTCC